TATATTAATTTTATGATGTTTAACCTTTGTATGACTTGCTAAGTTTTCTATCCGAACATATTATTTTGACATATACCTATATTAGAAACATGTATCATTGTGCGAATTGAGAAGAAAAGAGAGTCGCACAATCATAGAGAAGATAGAGAAGATTTGCTATATTTCGGTAGCAAATCTCATAATCATTTTTCCATAACAAATTTTGTAGCTATTTGTTCCATATCAAATTCATAACTATTTCTTATATAAGAAGATTTAACAAAATGGAATTTATTAATAACCATATTTGAAAAATATAGTAAAAATAAATTTAAAAGTAATATATAGTTTTAGAAGATATATTACAAAGTTCCTAATCATCAAAACTAAATATTAGTTACAATTGATAACATTTGAACATTTCTAAAAGTTTGATTATCCTATAATTTTTTTTTGCCTAATTATAAACAAAACAAATAAAATAATTTACATCCTAATTCATTTTCTCGTTTTAGTATTGCACCTATACATCAAATAAGATATAACCTAATTACACTCAAAAGTGATTTTCACGATTATAACTAGGCCCAAGATTATTGGACAGCCCATTTATGTAAAATAAAGTCCATATGGGTTTTAGACAAGATCGAAGATACCATTGACCTTGAGTCAACGGATCACAAGTCCCACACACGAGGCAGCGAAAGAATAAAAATCCTCCACATCTTATCCCTTTCCATATGCTGATAATTCAAGAAGATTCATATCATGCCTTCGATCGATTAGCTGTTCCCTGTAAAACCTAACAATTTCACAACGTGCTTTTGCCCCCATTTAACTGAAGTATGGAACAATGTGATCGTAGTCATGGCAGGGGTAATCAACAAGCTTACGAGAGATGGTGTTGTCTAGCTGGGTCTCGAGGCCATCGATTAAACTGGAACCCGTCCTTTAATTTTTTCTGCCTTTTTTTTTTCGGCATTACTCCTTCCCACTTAGGGGAAACTCCAAGGGTTTTGAGAGTTTTTTTTTTTGGTGGAGAGATAGAAAGGTAATGGACGTAAGTACAGAGAGAGTGAAAAAGGGGAACTTTTTGAAAATGCCAACCACACTCCAGGTTCTACAAATGCGGATGTGGGGTTTTTCTTTTTCTTATACAAGATTATGCATGCCTTTCTTTTCTCATTCAAGGCTTTCTTAATCTATCCTCATGTGGAGAGTTGTCCACAACAAGTTCCTTATAAAAGTCTCAATATGGTTCAAATTTCCCAAAATCTTTGTAGTTAGGTTTTGTCTTCTATTTCATCTTGATTGTTTTTTACAGAATTGATAGACTCACGAGAGTATAATCCACCATCGAAGTATGTGAGAATCACATTTTCCTTGTTACCTATGCATGTTTGTGTTTGGACTGTACAATGATATGTGTAAGATTTTCAAATGTAATGTAATTATTCACATGATGATATGTTGAAATCAACACCTATTCCCACTATGTTAACGAATACAAAGTTTAAGTCCAAAAGGGAATATCTACAAGAAAATAAATAACTTGTCTGAATTTACACGAGCATTATGTTGAAATAATTCAGAGTTTGTTTTTTCTGCACAATTTTATTAGTATTAAGTAGTCTTTCCAAAAAATCAAAGACCAGGTGTGAAGATGATTCCCTGGTTTTTAGCATGTAGCTAGGTAGTTCCTATTTTTCTGCCAAGTTCTTAGTTTAAATTGGAAGGCATGTGAACGTTGAGTTGTATCCCAGACTTTTGTTTTCCTCTGTTCAGTGAACAAAGAAGTATCACTTTGCCTCAAGTATTATCTTTTCTTCCTTGTACTCTGTGCTCACTTTACAGGACTAGTAAAGCTGTTTTCCAGTTTTACCCTTGTTATCATATATCAGTTTTTGTCCCCTGATTCAACTTGCTTTCCTGTGCCCTGTCCCTGTTTGGTAAAAAGGACTTGTTCTGCCCTTGCAAAACCAACATCTGGTATCAGAGCTTTCAGGTGCATGCCCAAGTACCAGTCTCGAGAAGAAATGGCTGGAAATAATGGAAACGGCGACAAGGAAGGTCAGATTACTCTTCATTACCCAATGCTTTCCAGAAGCAATTATGGTGCATGGGCCATAAAAATGAGAGTCTTCATGCAAGCTCAAGGAGTATGGGAAGCAGTGGAGCCCAGGACTCAGAACACAGTTGTGGAAGTTAAGAAAGATAGGATGGCTTTGGCAGCCATCTATCAAGGTATTCCTAAAAACCTGTTATTCTCTTTAGCAGAGAAGACAGCCAAAGAGGCTTGGGATGCCTTGAAAACCATGTTTATGGGAGCAGATAGGGTGAAGACAGTTAGGATACAGACTTTGAAGAGAAAGTTTGAGACCATGACAATGAAGGAGACAGAAGGGATAGATGACTTTGTTGCAAAAGTATGCAACATTGTGAGCACCATGCGCACTCTTGGGGACACTATAGAGGAAGTCCTACATTGTGAAGAAACTGTTGAGGGCAGTACTGTCCAAGTTTCTCCAAATTGCTTCAACAATTGAGCAATTTGGAGATATAAACTCCATGCCTGTTGAAGAAGTAATAGGAAGGCTTAAAGCCTATGAAGACAGATGAAATGTCATGCTGAGCCAGAAGATAGAAAGCTCCTCATGACCTATCAGCAATGGTCAAAGAAGAACAAGAAGAAAAGTGATAGTGACTCAAAGGCAAAGACAAATCGAGGTGGTTTTAATGGTTCACGTGGCTAAGGAAGAGGCAGAGGAAGAGGTCGCGGTGGCCGTGGCAGAGGTGGTCACCATAATCAGGGAGGCCAAGGAGCCTCTAACAGTCAAGAAAAAAGTGGTGTGCAGTGCTACAACTGCCAGGAGTTTGGGCACTATGCAGCAGAGTGCAAGAACCCAAAGAAAGAAAGAAACCAAATGGGGGAGCCTTGAATCAATAAAAAATGTGGTACCTCGACACTGGTGCAAGTAACCACATGACTGGAGATGAAGATAAGTTCCAAAACCTGGATAGAAAAATTCAAGGTGTTGTGAAGTTTGGAAATGAATCCAAAGTAAGAATTAAAGGAAAAGGATCAATTCTACTTCAGTGCAAGAATGGAGAAGAAAGAAAGTTGGAGGATGTGTACTACATACCCGATCTTTGCAGTAATATAATTAGTCTTGGCAGTTCTCTGAAGGATGTGATGAGATCAGAATCAAAGAGCCTTTCCTATGGGTGCATGATGATACATGAAGACTACTAATGAAAGTGAAGAAATCTCCAAACTGGCTCTACAAAATTCAACTAGAAGAGATTGCACCAAGATGCTAAATGGCCAATCTAAGTGATCCAGCATGGCTGTGGCATACAAGGCTAGGCCATGCGAATTTCACCTCTTTAAAGACTGGCTGATAAGGGCCTGATTGAAGGAATTCCCAAGGTGGTGGTACCCTCATAACCATGTGAAGGGTGTTTGAAAGGGAAACAAGCTCGAACTCCATTCCCAGCAAGCACAAGTTTCAGGGCCACAAAGAAATTGGAATTAGTCCATGGCGATCTGTGTGGACCAGTCTCACCTCCAACACCTGCAGGCAATAGATATTTCATGCTCTTAGTTAACGATTACACTAGGGTCATGTGGGTATATCTAATGAAAACTAAAGATGAAGCCTATCATACCTTCAAGAACTTCAGGAGCAAGGTTGAGAATGAAACCGGTGAGAAGCTAAAAGTACTCAGAAAGATCGTGGAGGGGAGTTCTTGTCGAAGCAATTTGATGAGTACTGTGAAGAAACCGGATTGGAGCGCCACTACACCGCACCCTACTCTCTACAGCAAAATGGGGTCCTAGAGAGGAGGAATCGGACGATGCTGGAGATGACTAGGAGCTGTCTGAAGTCGATGGGGGTTCCCAATGTCTTATGGGGCGAGGCTGTGACTCACGCAGTCTATGTATTGAACCGATTAGGCACGAAAGCCCTCAAGGAAACCACACCGTATGAATTATGGACGGGAAGAAAGCCTCATGTTGGACACAAACGATCGAAGCAAGAAATTGGTGTATCTTGGAACAGAGAAAGGAACGAAGGCTCACAGACTTCTAGACCCTAATTCAGGCTCTATGTATGTAAGTAGGGATGTAGTCTTTCAAGAAATTGGTGTATCTTTGCTAGTAAGTTTCTAGCATCGGCCTTCTTGAACGGGAAGTTAGAAGAGGAGGTGTATGTCATACAACCAGAAGGCTTTGAGAAGAAAGGTGAAGCAAACAAGGTCCTTAAACTGTCAAAAGCACTTTACGGGCTAAAACAAGCGCCCAGGGCATGGAACTCGTGTCTGGATGCTTACTTGAAAAGTCTTGGATTCAAAAGGTGCCCCCAGGAATACTCTGTGTACACCAGAATGAAGAATGGAAACAATCTAGTCATTGGAGTCTACGTTGATGATCTGTTGGTAACAAGCTAGGTAGTTCCTCTTTTTCTGCTAAGTTCTTAGTTTAAATTGGAAGGCATGTGAACGTTGAGTTGTATCCCAGACTTTTGTTTTCCTCTGTTCAGTGAATAAAGAAGTATTACTTTGCCTCAAGTATTATCTTTTCTTCCTTGTACTCTGTGCTCACTTTACAGGACTAGTAAAGCTGTTTTCCAATTTTACCCTTGTTATCATATAGCAGTTTTTGTCCCCTGTTTCAACTTGCTTTCCTGTGCCCTGTTCCCTGTTTGGTAAAAAGGACTTGTTCTGCCCCTGCAAAACCAACACATTAGTTTTCCTACATCTGATCTTCGTTTCCCACTAAATGTGTTATGTGTACTATTCCTCTTCCCATGCAAGGTATCGAAGTCTTAGAATAAATTTTTTGAACACTGTTTATCTCTGGAGTATAAATGATATTGGAAAAAAGATAGTTATGCAAATTAATAATAAAACATGAATGTATAATAAAATGTATACTAAATCACAACTTTTATTATTTCATGCCCTTTGTTGATTTGTTACATGGTTTGCAGGTCTCACAAAAAGTTAGAATATAAAAAATGGCGTTTATATTTGAAAGCATTGCTGGTCCTATTGTTGAATGTTTGTTGCCTCCTGTCAAGAAGAATTTGAGTTATCTTTTTTCCTCCACAAAACATGTGAGGAACATGAGTGCTAAAATGAACCAACTGAATGGTACATGCATTGATGTCAAAAATCACAGGGATGCAAACAATATAAATAATCTAGAGATACCTGAGCGTGTACCGGGTTGGTTGGAAGAGGTTGAACAAATTAGAAAAGATGCTCAAAGCATTTCAAGTACTGATAGTGGATGTTTTAACATAATAATGAGGTACCGAGCAGGAAGGAAGGCATGTAAGACTACTGAGGCGATCGAAAGTCTTATTACGGAAAAACTTCAAATGAGCTGGAGTGATGCTCAAAAACCTCTTGGGAGAGTGCATTCTAAAATCGCATCTTCGGATGGTGATGCCCAAAATCACTTCAAATCAAGAGAGAAGCCTTTTAAGGATGCGCTCGGGTTCCTTCAACAAAATCAGATGATAGCCCTATGTGGAATGGGTGGTGTGGGAAAAACGACCATGATGGAACAGCTGAAAAAGCATCTGGAAGGTGAGAAAAAGTTTGATTTGTTTCTAAAGGTGGTTATTGGGAAAAAAGAAGCGTCTTCTATTCAGCAAGCTTTGGCAGAATGCATAAGTCTATCTCTAACTGAAACAGATCCAACAAGAAGGGCAGAACGTCTTGGTATAGCATTTACAGAGCTGGTAAAACAAAACAAAAAGGTTTTAGTAATATTAGATGATGTATGGGAGTCGATCGATCTCAAAGATATTGGACTAAGTCCTTTTCCCAACAGCTTCAAGTTATTGCTGACATCACGAAAGGAAAATACTTGCAAGCAAATTGCAGAAAAATGTAATTTTGATTTGAAAGTAGTTAGAGTGGAACTCATGGAGGAGCTAGAAGCACAGAATTTCTTTTGGAAAATCATAGGAATCGCAAAACAAAATGATCCGGAGCTCAATCAAATTGGAACAGAGATTGTGAGAGAATGTGGGTGTTTGCCCCTTGCCATTAATCTCGTTGCCAGTCGTCTTAAGTTTGAAGAAAAGGTTGCATGGAGAGATACACTCCGCCGTTTGAAGAATAAAAATCTTGATTATGTGCAAGAAAGTGTTAAGATAAGCTATGACTATATAAAAGAGGATGAGGAAAAAGAAATCTTTCTTCTTTGTGGCTTGTTTCCTGATGACTTTAATATTCCAATCGAGGAACTCACAAGATATGCATGGGGCCTACGGTTGTTAAATGGAGTTTCTACTTTGGGAGAGGCTAGAGACAGGACAGAGACGTGTGTGCAGAGTCTCAAAAAAGCAAATTTGTTGATGGAATGCGATGCTGATGGGTGTGTCAAAATGCATGATCTTGTGCTCGATTTTGTTTTAGGTATAGTTTCTAGGGGTGAGCATCCATGGGTAATTAATCATGGTGATAATTCAAAGTGGACTAGTGTTGGAATGAGCAAGACTTGCAAAAGAATCTCCATTACTTGCACGGGTATGTCTGAGTTTCCTAGTGACTCCAAGTACCCAAACCTTTCACTTTTGAGACTTATGGATGGAGATAAGTCGCTTAAGTTTCCTAATGATTTTTATGAAAGAATGGAAAATCTTGAAGTTATAGCGTATGAAAAAATGCAGTATCCGTTGCTCCCCGGCTCACTTCAGTCCTCCACCAAGCTACAAACACTCATTCTCAATCAATGCCTATTGACGTTTGATTTCTCGGCTATTGGTGAACTCGTGAATCTGGAAGTGCTCAGTTTTGCACATTGTCGGATCAAAAAGTTACCATGCTCAATTGGAAATTTGAAGAAGCTAAAGCTACTGGAGTTGACGGGTTGTATCAACCTTCGGATTGATGATGGTGTCTTGAAAAGTTTGGTCAATCTTGAAGAGCTTTATATGAGAGTACATGGCAAAAAGGCAATTAGGTTCACAGACAGCAATCATGCTGAATTAGCAGAACTTTCAGAGCACCTTTCTGCATTAGAAGTTGAGTTCTTTGACAACGGTACACCCGAGAATATGTTGTTTACTAAACTCAAAAGGTTCAGGATCTCAATGGGATGTGGTTTAGGAGACAATCCTGGATTAAAGATGCACTCATTTGAAAACACGTTGATGTTGGTCACTAACAAAGATGAGCTATTGGAATCTAGATTGAATGAGTTGTTTGTGAAAACAGAGGTGCTTTATCTAGAAGTGGATGGTATGAATGATTTTCATCAACAGTCGTTTAATAATCTAAGAGTCCTTGATGTCTTCAAGTGTGCAAACTTGAGATTCCTCTTCACAGTCCCTATTGCAAATGGTTTGATGAACCTTGAACGCCTCACAGTTTCACAGTGCCCTGTTCTAGAAGTACTTGCACATAGTGAGAATGGTGGAGATGGGTCAATTAGGTTTCAGGGGCTAAAGTTTCTATCATTGAAGATGCTACCAGAGTTGATAGGTCTTTGCAACACTGCTAATGTAATTGAGCTACCACAGCTGGTGGAGCTGGAACTTGATGGCCTTCCTTATTTCAATAGCATTTATCCTGAGAAAACATCTGCAACATCTTCTATGTCCAGTAATGTCTCTGCAATTCAACCTTTCTTCAACAAAGGGGTACTTTCCTTAACCAAAATATTTTTAATATAATTGCACAATATATTGTCATTAGATGGTGTTATTGATGATCAACATGTCTTACGTATTGTGTAGGTGCTGATTCCTAAGTTGGAGAAATTGAGGATTTGGAGGTTGGATAAGCTGAAAGAGATATGGCCTTATCAATTTATAAGTAGTAGTGACGAAGTTAATGCCTGCATGTTGAGAGAGATTAGAGTGAGGGAATGTGATAATCTTGTGAATCTGTTTCCAACCAATCCCATGTCTTTGCTGGGTCGTCTGGAAGAGCTGGATGTTTCTAATTGTGGAAGCATTGAATTGTTATTTAACATCGACATGAGTTGTGTTGGTGAAATTGAAGAGTACAGTAGCAACTTGAGACTCATTAATGTAGATGGTTTGGGGAAGCTAAGAGAGTTGTGGAGGATGAAAGGTGAAAGTAGCTCTGATATCCTCATCCGTACCTTTCAAGCTGTTGAAAGGATAGAAATAGAAAAGTGTGAGAGGTTTGTAAACGTATTCACACCGACCGTCACCAATTCTGATGTGAGAACATTTATGAATGTGAGTATAGATGGTAGGAGATATTGTGAAGCAAACAGGAGAAACATTGAATTGGTTCAGAAAAGCAAGGAGGTATGTGATGTCATTGAGCTTTCAATTTCTATTTTGATGTTACAGCACTTATTTGTATGTGCTTCTATATATACCCTCACACTTATATCTGTATGTGTATCTACATATGTGTGAGTGTGTGTACATATATACATATACATATACACACATCACACTATAATAAATCAATCAATTATATACAAAAACAATTTATTACTCCACATTTGAAAACATGGACAAATTACATAAATACTACATTTTTAAGTGTGGAGAAGTAGGCTAGATTTCCTACAGTGCTAAGTATTGATGTCTTTCAACCTTTATATTATCACTTTTACATATTTATAAGCAAGTTTTTCTTATTTTCTTATTTTTGTTATTTCACTATACTCGAGCATTTGTTTAATATTTTATAACAATTGTAACTTCAAATATTACATATTTACACCGCATCATTAAGAGCGACTGAAAATTAATATTTTTATATATTCCCATTAAATGCAAAGATTTTACATATTTATTCTAGTGATCAAATAAGTGATCACTCAAAATTATTGATTTATGGTAAAAAAAGAGTAAATATTAAAATCTCGTCCCCTTTATCTTGGTCCTCCCTCCTAGTGACCATCTCGGCTCCCCTCTATATCTCCTTCATTAGGTCATATATGAAGCCTTAAAGGACATCTCACTTCAGTTGTTTGTAAATTTCACCTGAAACTGGATGTTCTTGCATCATCCCCCACTTGTCCTGCAACTTTTTCACTTCAATTTAAGATTTCACTTATCTGATACCCAAAAAGTATAATTTCTTTTGGAGACATGTTGTCTGGTTTTGGGTTGTGACAATATGTTGTAAGCATTGCCTTTTTTCTATTTATCGGGTGTATGTTTTATGTTAGTCGCATCTTACATGATGATTTTGGATTTCAACTCACTGAATAATGTGTTGAAGACGATAAGATATCGTTGTTGAATTTATGCTATGCCTTGCATTTTCCATGCTTGATGATGATGAAAATGCACCTGAGATTGATATGGTAGTGGAGGAAAGTGATTGCAATGGAGGAACAGATACGGGAGCTAAATGAGGAAGATGGTGAAAGGGGAAAGAGGGGGACATTGGAGCGATATATGGGTGGTGGGACCTATGAATAATTTTCATGATAATTAATAATAGAAAATAAAAGAAGGGCAAAATAGTCATTTTATAAGTTTTAACCGACGTAAGTTAACGGTGTGAGTGATATGGATCAAAATTGCAAAATGATTTTTTTGTACGTAAACCAAAAAACCAGATAACCAATTGTGTACATTAGTCTACAAAAGTTATTTTTAAATATTTGTGTAAATGCGAGTATTTTGAATATTTTTTGTAGGTATCAAATATGTCATCATTGGAAATTACTTAAAATCCGTTAATTTAATCACTGTCAACTTTAGTTATGTAAATAGATTTAAAGAGGTGTGCCATTTATGAATAATTAATTTAAATTTTTGTTATTGGAAATTCTGAATTATTTTTGTTGTTGAGATATGTGCAGATTAATGTTATATCCAAGGAAGAGATCATTTCAGAGGTGGATGGTAATATTCCTGACGTTGAATCCTCAATTCATCCCAAACCTTTTCACGTTAATCACCTTCAAAGACTTAAGGTACATGATTGTAAGGATGTTGAAGTGGTGTTTGAGATAGAGAGTTCCAGTAGCAACAGCAGCACAGATTTGACATCAACTCTGCATAAATATAATCATCAACCACCACTACTACTTCCCCACCTCAAGGTTTTACATTTAGATGATATGTCGAGGATGAGTGATGTGTGGAAGTGCAATTGGAAGAAACTTGTAATTCCTCAAAACCAATCACAATCCTACTCATTCCACAACCTCACAATCATACACATGGAAAAGTGTCATAGCATAAAGTACTTATTTTCACCTCTCATGGGCAAACTTCTTCCCAACTTAAAGGTGGTCTGGATAAGGTGGTGTTATGGTATTGAAGAAGTTGTTTCAAATAGAGATATTAATGATGAAAATGAAGAAATAATATCTTCTACTCACACAAACACCATCTCCTCCTTCCCTCTTCTTGAAGAACTCTTCCTCCGGTCTTTGCCACGCCTAAAGAGTATCGATGGCGGTACTACAATCACAACTACTTCCATCCATGATCAGTTCAAGGTATATTTGATTTCTTTTAAGCGAATCCTTTACATATTCAGTTATTTGTTTTATTTCTTTTTTTAATATTCTATTCTCCTTTAGCTGCTTTATATAACTCCCTAAGCTAATTCTTCTGAAGCTAGAAACACAAAATAAATAACTACATACCTAATTTTTTTTTTTGTTTTTTTTTTTTTAAATTTTATTTGGTTGCATAGGTCACAAAGTTATTTATGATAAGCATGGTTATAAATCATTTAAAATGTTTTGTATCCAGTTTAATTTAGTTAAATTAACTAAAATGGATGGTGGACTCAAACCGGATTGTGAGGGAGAGAAAAAAAATTAATTGATAGATGCATATAAGTCATATCGACATTATTCTTGATTTTTTATTAGGTAATTTGAAAAATGGAACAAAAATGATTTTATTGATGTCTTTTTTTTGATGCATTTTTTTTTTGAAAAATATACCAATTATAGCACCAACATGGTGGTCTTGTGTCATTTATTAAAGGCTAAAATGATAGAAATAGCAATTTACTTCCATTTATTTGCTTATAATTAAGAGCATCCTACTTTCATTTTTTTCCTATTAAAGCATTGTACTTTCAGAAACCCACCCAATTCTAGCAATGTCATCCAAATACAAAGGATTTCTATTTCTGCAATAGAAAGAAATGAAAGTAGGATGCTATAACAAACGAATAAATGGAATTGCGTTTCTATTTCTTGCATTTAGCCCTTCTTTTGTACACACAAGTAAAATTCATAGCTATAAATCTAGGTGAAATATTTGTATATTTTATGGTTTATATCATGCTTGCATTTGTTTATATCTCATATTCATTGTCTTTTTTAGTTTTGAAGATGAGACTAACCATTATAATGACCACCATGTCCACTTCCAGTGTCATACTTTGATTCTGCACGAGAAATATATCTTGATTAATTGCTAATCAAAGTCTGTTCATTTTCAAGTTTTAATTTGAGTGAATGCTAATTAGTTGTGTTAATTAGCACCTTTATGTATTCAATTATTTGTTTTATTTCTTTTTTTTAATATTCTCTTCTCCATTAGTTGTGTGATATAACTCCATAAGCTAATACTTCTGAAGCTGGAAAGACAAAAATGAATAACTACATGCATAATATTTAATAGTTTTTTCATTTGCGTAGGTCATTAAATTGATTTATGATAAGACCAGATTGTGAGGGAGAGAAAAAAATTGATTGATTGATGTATATAAGTCATGAAAAATAGAACAAAAATGATTTTATTGATGCATTTTTTTTTGTTTCCTAGCATGCGCTAGTTTGGCTTAATAGAATTCGGTTTGCTGTTTAAAAGAAATATTTTTTTTGCTGACATCAAACAAAAGAATATGAAACTTTACATAACTGTATCTCGTGTGCCAACTGAAAATATATAAATACAATATGTGGCAAAAGGCTCCTGTTTACAACTTCTATTGTACCAGAAAAGTGTCATATTTAAAATATTAACTAACTTTATGACATTGAACTATCAGAGTCAAATGTCAAGAGTGTCAATTTTGGAAATATCTCTAGATCTTAATTTATCAAGTATAATTAACCAGGTCTTTACTGAAAAGGACTCCCTTGAAAAAATCTTTGTTCTAAGCATGCTTTCGATCTATTTAGAATATTAGAATTAAGATAGATTTTACACTATACAAATAATGAAATTTTTTAGATGTATAATAAATTAACATGAAGAAGATGATGCATGTAATCAGTGGAAGTACGGAAATATAAGCATATTGATTGCAAACTCATTTCTGAATAATAAATTTAGAAGTAATGTTATGTTTTCGTTTTCTCACATTGAGGGGGTAATGGGTTATATAGTCCAATGATATTTGTTTTCTCTTCATAAATCATGGCACTATACTAATTTTGAATTGGGTATATTTTAGTCATTTTTTTTTTGTTCAACATACTTTCCTTTATTTTCTTATTATAAAATCTTACTTTCATTTCTTCCAGTTATAGCATCAGACTTTGAAAAATATACCCAATTATACATGGCTACAATGGCCTGAAAAGAAAAGTTGAAAGTAGAATGCTATAAATGGGTGGATTTTGAAAGCACCTATATGAAAGTAGCAATTTATTCTCATCGATTTGCTTATCAGATCATCTTACTTTCACTTTTTCCTATTAAAGCATTCTACTTTAAGAAATCCACCCAATTATAGCAATGTCATCTAAATACAAAGGATTTCCGTTGCTGTAATAGAAAGAAATGAAAGTAGGATGCTATAACAAACGAATAAATGGAAATGCGTTTCTATTTCTTGCATTTATCCCTTCTTCAATACAGACAAGTAAAGTTCAGAGTTACAATATTTTGTATATTTTACGGTTTTTATTATGCTTGTATGTGTTTATACACGTGTTCCTGCAGACACACCTGAAATATATATGTTGATTAATTGCTAATCAAAGTCTGTTCATTTTCAAGTTTTAATTTGAATAAATGCTAATTAATTGTGTTAATTAGCACCCTGACAGTTTTGTTTTTTCTTGTTTCTATTTTCTTTTTTGTAGCTGTTTAAAATCTCCTGTAAGCTTATATAATTAAGGCCACTTTTATGATTAATTTAGTGTGCCTTTTCTTTCATCCACCATCTACTTGTTCTCTCTTGCCAACAATATAAAGCATAGCATACAACTGATTTCTTGTTTTTAGTTATTTGGCTATATATATAACAAGGGTATTTTGGTCATTTGACAAACCTTCTTCTTTAACGGAGTGGAGTCCAAACACCACGATCTGATTTCTCTTAATTCATTTTTTCACCATAAAATCCAACATGAACTTTGTCTTGTAAACCATTTGAATCTTTCACATGTAGGCCCAGATTTTTTGGCCTAGGTGGTCTTCTATGTTTATGCTGATTCTGTGTCTTTCAGAAGTATGCTTCTTAAGATCCTTCCACTCTCTTCATGTTGTTGATTCTGTCTGTCACCACCAGAACCTCATAAAAGTTTCTGCTGAGGTGTCATGCCAGTGGTGACCTGGAATTTGTGAAAAGTCCAATGGCATTTATTTTCTCTTCATAAATCATGGCACTCTACTTCAGCTTGCCTTATGCTGACCACTTTGAACTGCTATAGCAGGTTAAAGTGGTCACTATAGAAAATTTTGTCAAAGTTGAGTGGCTTTAGTGAAATTAAGTGGACTAAACTTTGACAACCTTTTCAATTATGACCACTTTAACCTGCTATAGTAGGTCAAATTTGTCAATATAGAAAGAAATTAATTATTGATAACGGCTGATCAGATGCTAACATTCTGCATATTAAATTTTTCTTCCTTTTGTCACTGTGTCCTAAATTAACCCTTCATGTTAGTAAAATTATTTAAAACATGAAGAAGATGATGCATGTAATCAATGCAGGTACGGAAATATAAGCATATTAATTTCAAACTCATTTCCTAATAATAAATAAATTTAGAAGTACAATTATGTTTTCATTTTCTCACATTGAGGGGGTAATGGGTTATATAGTCCAATGACATTTGTTTTCTCTTCATAAACCATATACAGAAAAACCACTATATTTTTAGTCATTTTCTCTGTTCAACATACTTTCCTTTATTTTCTTATTACATCATCCTACTTTCATTTCTTCCTGTTATAGCATCATACTTCGAAAAAATATACCCAATTATATGTGGCTACAACGGCCTGATAAGAAAAGTCGAAAGTACAATGCTATATGGTAGTCTTGGGTCATTTATTAAAGTCTAAAATTATAGAAATAGCATTTTACTTTCACTGATATGATTATAAGAGCATCTTACTTTCATTTTTTCCTATTAAAGCATTGTAATTTAAGTAACTCACCCATTTATTGCAATTTCATTCAAATACAAAGGATTTCCGTTACTGCAATATAAAGAAATGAAAGTAGGATGCTATAATAAACGAATAAATGGAAATGCGTTGTTATTTCTTTCATTTAGACCTTCTTCAGTTCAGATAAGTAAATTTCATAGCTATAAATCCAGGTGAAATATTTGTTTATTTTATGCTTTATATCATACTTTCATGTGTTTATATCTCATATTTATTGTCTTTTTTTTTAGTTTCAAAGATGAGACTAACCATTATCATGACCACCATGTCCACTTCCAGTGTCATACACTTTGCTTCTGCACGAGAAATAATTGTTGATTAATTGCTAATCAAAGTACTTCAAAGTCTCTTCATTTTCAAGTTTTAATTTGAATAAATGCTAATTAGCTGTGTTATTTAGCACGTAGCAGTTTTATTTTTCTTGTGTCAGTTTCCTATTTGTAGGTTGTCATAATCTCTTCTAAGCCTATATAATTAAGGCCACTTTTATGATTGATTTAGTGTGCCTTTTCTTTCATCCACCATCTACTTGTTCTCTCCTGCCAACAATATAAGCATAGCATACAACTGATTAGTTTCTTGTTTTTACTTATTTTGTCATATATGTATAACGAGGGTATTTTGGTCATTTGACAAACCTTCTTCCTCAAGGAGTCCAAACACCACGATTTGGTTTCTCTTTATTCCTAGACCTTTTATCCATTTTTTCTGTATATTGCCCTTTTGGATTTCAACTTACATTGTCCACATTGGTACTTAATTACCTTAGTTGTGGGAAGCACTCGTGTTTGTTACCACACTTTTAGAAACAAATGATATGTTAAATTGTAGTGTGTATGTGTGTAGCAAACATCTAAGCTTTGTTAATTAAAATAGATCCATTGATTTTTCATGTGTTGTTGTAGTGTTCTCAAGTCGGTGTTGCTTCTTGGTTCTTATGCCAATACTCCAAAAAGATTTATATAGAGAACTGTCCTGCCCTATCAAGAGTGTTTCCATCCAATGTAGTGGGACGACTGCTTAAGCTTGAAGAGTTGAGAATATGGTATTGTAAGTCAATAGTAGAGATATTTGAAAGTAAAGAAATAAAAAAGATGGTGTTGATAGTACTACGAATGTTGGTGATGGAAGTGATGATACTTGTACTGCAATCACCATCCCAAGGTCGGCAAATATGACTCTGCTTCAATTGCCCAACCTAACGATATTGAAAATAGAAAGATGTGAAGTTTTGGAATATATATTCACAAGTTCCACACTTGAAAGCCTCAAGCAACTCAAAGAACTGACTGTAGCAGAATGCAAGGCAATGCAAGTGATTGTGAAGGAAGACGCAGAGCACACAGAAACATCTAAATCTATAATAGTCTTCCCACGTCTCAAGTCCCTTACACTTGTAGATTTACCAGATCTGAAGGGTTTCTTCTTGGGGAAGAATGAGTTCAGGTGGAAAGTATTGGAAATGGTTGAGATGTATGGCTGCCCACAAATGATGAATTTCACATCTGGTCACTCCATGACTCCGAAGCTCAAATATATACATACAGCCTACGGCAAGCATAGTCTTGAATGTGGCCTCAACTTCCATTTGACCAATGCTACACATGAGGATGAGGTATGTTATCACTTTATTTCATCATTTAACCAGGTGATCAGCATGTCGTTTTATGATGTTCAACATATTATTTGCTTACAAAAATTAGGTGGCAGGTTCATATTTGTATTCCAGAAGGAAACATAAAACAAAACCAAATGAAGATACATATATAACCACTTCACTTTTTTATATCCATAAAAAGTTATGAAAATATGCAATCTTGTTTTTTATTATAAATTAATATTTCATTCCTAAGATATTAAGTTGTCTCTTATGTTACGAAAGATGTTATATTCACTCATTCATAAGTTAGCAGTTTAATATTTAAATCAAGTTAGATGAACTAAAGACAAAGGCTGAATTGACGCATTCACTGTGGGTGGTTTTTTCCATGTCCAACATTTCTGAACATAAACAATACTAGGTTTCGTTTGATCATATTCAAATCAACAACCCCTTCTTCTTTACATTGTCCCTATTTTCACCGGCTTGCAACCCCAAGAGCATCACAGAGAAAGAAGGTAAAGAAAGGAGGACCAACTTTGTAATTTTGGAACCACAGGGACCGTAACCGCAAAAATCGACAAACGCATGGACCAAATTTGCAGTTTTTGCTAAAAAAAAACAAACAAATCTAACTAGTGGCTTGAAGGTTTGGAGTCTGGGCAAGTATTCGACTAAAGGCATAACAAAATAAGCACCTAAGAAAAAGGGCTTCTAAAATTCACATAATAGTTTCTTTCCTTGAAAACAGAAGATTTAAGAATTTATATCAAATATATGAATATAAAAAACTATTTTCTTGTGTATTACAAATGATACTTGGCAAGTTCATTCTTATTCAAATCATTTGAAAGTTTATAAATCATTAATTAGGAACTTAGAACCAACAACTTCATTCGGTTAAGAAAAAAACACAAAATAGATGGAAATAAAAGCATTAGCTTATTTTACATATTTTCACTCATATCTATTAACAAATAGATTTTTGTATGGAGCTATATTTTGTAATTGAATCATTTATATCGTTTTCATCCAGTTTAATCCAATTATCTAACATATTTTATAATAATGTGATGTTAGTAGTTAATCAAGTTGTTCTTTTCTCTCTCATCTTCTACAAGCTTGATATTTATGTAGCGTTTATTACCTAAATTTGACAAAAATAGTATTGCTGAGATGATTGTAAAAGTATAAGTATATCATCCATATATCATTTGTTGTATTTGACAATGCAATAAAAATACAATAACATAGTTATCTTTTTTCCTAAAAAAGTTGGATGTAAACATTCAGTACATGAAAAACTACCTATTTGAAGTAGCCAAAACACTTAACTTTTACAGTTTTACTTTTTATTTTATCTGCCCACCCCACACACACACAAACACAAATATTTAATTTTTTTACTTTTATTTAAAAAGACTCAATCATTGATAAAATCTAAATTGTTTAAACAAATCGACATTCATCAATAAAATCTAAATTGTTTAAACAAATGCAATGTATAAATCAGAATTTTTCTTCACAGTGCTCATCTTCTCAGAAAATAATGTAAGCAGTGCCATAAACTAGGTTGTTGATTGGAAATACATGTTGCCTCGTTTAAAAATAATAGAACTTGCAATCCTTTACTATGTTTATATACTAAATGTGTTTGTCCTTTATATATAATTGTAGTGTTTGAGATGATCTATGTTTGATTTTTCTTTGCAGACTCAACTCCCTATGTGCTCTACTCCAGATTTGATAAAGCTAGTTCAATTCCCGTGGTCTTTTTCAAATTTAGTTGAAGTAGATTGGAAATACAAATTGTTGAAAAGCCGCATAATTTTTCCATGCAAGGAGTTGCTTAATCTGAAGAATCTTGAAAAGGTTTCTATTACCAATGCATATGAATCTGTAACAGAGGAGGTATTTGAAGTAGCAGAAGGGACAAATGAAGATGTGGATATTGAAACACAATCTGTTGTGGTATTTGAGAAGCTGAAAGAGGTGACTTTGGGTGGAATATATAATCTGAAGCATGTGTGGAGGAGCAATCGGTGGATAGTGTTGAACTTTCCAAACCTTACAAAGGTGTCGATTGAAAGTTGTAAGCTTCTTGGACACGTTTTCAGTAGTTGCATGGTTGGCAGTCTATTGCAGCTCCAAGAGCTAAAAATAAGTGACTGCAAGAGTATGGATGTGATTGTGAAGCAAGTTGAAGATTCCAAAACCAGACTGACTTCTGAGGTTGTGTTCCCTTGTCTGAAATCCATAACACTTGAATGGCTTCTAAATCTCAAGGGATTTTGCCTGGGGAAGGAGGCTTTTGAATGGCCATCATTAGATACTTTGGTAATCAAATATTGTCCGGAAATAACAGTTTTCACAAATGGGCAATCAACTACTCCGGAGCTAAAGTTAATAGATACAACTTTTGGATTGTGTCATGTAACAGAAGACCCCAACTCTTTTATAAAGACCTATCAAAAAGAGGTATGTGGTGTCTCTTTTGGTTATTATTAACAGATTAATGTTTTCTCCAACAAAAACTTTACATTACTCTCCAATTTACAACTTTGTTGTAATCTCCTACAGGGATGGCAGTTCTAGAGGAACATTTGAATTCACATGTGCAGTTTGGCTCATTTTGAAGTCAGCTATATATATAGCATAATAGGTAAGATTACAACATTGTACCATGGTTTATGCCTTAGGATTTCTTCTAGCACTCATTTGTTTCCAGTGTCCATCATCATTTACATGTTTCTCTACTTTATTTGATTGAACTGACTTGATGACCAACTCTTCTGCTTCAAGGTTATTGAAACCCTGTTCCTAAGTAATCTCATAAATCCCTTTTGTTAAAAGATTTAATTCACAAGAAATTGATACTTTAGACTAAAGTCTTTAGTTAATCTTATATTAAATCTATTCTTTGGATTGATCAGCGAGTGCAAATCAAGAATTCTGGACGAAAGACATATTCTTTTGTTCAAAGTTCGGCCTCTTTCATGAGGGCATTCTATTTTGACTTTTTCACAGTAGTCAAACTTAATGCATATAAAATTAAAATTTTAGGCATTTTTCTGTTTGATTATTGGTCATGTGAAATGGTTCTTTTTTCAGTAATCTTGGGATAGATAATGATTATTCTTGTCAATTTATGAAGGTAGCAAATAACTCATCTGACACAAAAAGAATCAATAGTTTCACCTGCTGACTGTAATCATATTTCCCTGTGTAACTTTTTTTTTTTTTTTTTTTTTTTTTTTCATGATTTTGTTTTTCAGGCATCTTCTGATTTCAAACAGCCCCGCCACCACCACATGTCCCTGAGTACTCCCTGGAACTTGTATCTTGTGATGGCTGGCAGTTGTTTCTGGTGGTGGATTTGGCCAGAGAAATTTCCATGTGTACATACTTAAAGAAAAATTATCTGTTTTCAAAAGAAAAACACAAACTTGGTTGCCTTCTTGATGAATTATATTTTGTCCTTCACTCACAACTTTACCCTGTAAATAACATAAACATACTTTTCTTAATTTACTATATTTTAATCCCCTGTTTTAGGATAAACTTAGCTTCAATATACTCTGTTTTATACTTAATGCTAAGTTACCCGTTAGTTTTAAAATAACATTACATTGTAGGCATCACGATGTGAAGTAAAACAAAAAGATGAAAAGTTAGGATGAAGTGATGTTGCTTGAGATCATCCTCTGGTAACATCTGACTCTGTTTATGTTTCAAAGAATTAGTTTATTGTAAATTTGAAATACAAGTTCCTTTCATCTTTTTGCAAAACTTAACTTTACCACAATTATAAACTTTAATCCGTTGGATTTCAAGGTTTTATATTTCAAGTTTAAGACAGGTTTACAAAATCTTCTTTAAAGGTAGTCAAAATCATCAATTTTCTTAACTTTCACTAATAATATTAAAAAAAAACACAAATATGGCTACAATATTACAAAAACAACTAATTTAAAAAAAAATACTTCTCCTTGCTTTCTTAGATACAAAACCATTAAAAATACCATCAAAATCGATTTGATGTAATATATCTTTCTCTCTACATAATATTGTCAAACCATTCAACATTTCTTGCAATATCGATGACCTTAGATAAGTCTTCAATAATATCAGTTTTGAAAAACTTCTTTCTGCAATGTAAGCAATGAAACAGTGACATGAATGGTTTAATAAGATGCTATATGCAATAAAATTTTTAGATAACAATCAACAACTTTAACAAAGTCTAAAATTTCAATAGCTTACATTATATTATTAGGCAAAATCATTTGCAACACCTTTAATTTTGAAAGTACACAACAAATCCTAATTTCTAGGTTTAAAAATATCTAAAGGTTCATTTATATTAGTTTTTTCTTAATTCACATTATTATTGTGTTCATTCAATTGGTATTTTCTTTATTCAAATTAGTATTTTCTTCATTCAAGATGGTATCATTTTCATTCAAATTAGTATCATTTTCATTCAAATTAATATTTTCTTCATTTAAATTAGAAGTACTCAAAGGTTTAAAAAAACTTATCCATAGTTCATTTTTGAGATTGTATAGATGCATCAACAAATTTTCGATTCTTTCTTTGTTGGCTTTCGGATAAATGTTTTTTAGGTAACATTGTATAATTGTCAATAATTAAACACTAGTTCAAGGAAAGAATATACTTGATTTCTTATTTCTTCCTCAAGTTTGGAGAAGTTAAATATCAAAGCAAGTTGCCAAACAAAATTTACAAAAGTCAAAGAATCTGAATATCTTATAAATAAATAAAATATGATAACCAACATTTTGGATTAACATATGCATATTACCTTAAGAAGTCCAAATAAGTAATTTTAAGTTCAAAACTGAAACTTTGCAAAACTAAAATCACACACAAAAAAATTGAAACATAAACTTCTGATTAGATTATACGAAAGCTTTGAATTTGATTAAACAAAAATTCGATAATGAGAAACTAAGAAAGAGTTGAACAAAATAATATATCTGATAATTTGAACCAAATTAAAACCTAATTGACTCATAAGTTAGAAAATAATAATGTCAAAAATCAAAATGAGAAACAAACACACAAAAAAACTATAAATAAAAATTTAGAAGTTTGATTAAACCTTATAGTTGGAACTGAGTGGAGAATGAGGGCGAGTTGGCGACTAGACGGTAATCACTAGATTAAGGAAATAGGAAGTGTGGTTGTATATTGCAGATGAAGCCAGAAAATGTGATATGTTAGTGTGTGTGTGTCGTCTTTAATCTAGATTAAGTGAAGGCAAGATCGAGAGTGATAAAGCAGATTAATAAGAAAAGCAGAAAATTGAGACAGATAATTATATAAGGTTAGTAAGTGTGGTGTCACACAATCCACGGTCTACATAGACACCACATTATATTTTCCACACTTTAGTCAAAACTTGTCATTTGCATGGCGCGGCGCGGGTTGCCGCACTTGCCATGCTACTTTTTTTAATTAATATAGAAATTAAATATTTCAAACATATTATTTTTTTAAAACATAAATTTTATTAAACATAAAATAAAAATACAACACACAAAAAAAAACATAGAAATTCAAATTATAAACCTAGAAATGTAAAAAAAACGAAACCATGAAAATTAAAAAAAGGAAAACTAGATGTTATATTTTTTGGAAGCTCCTCTTTGACTTTTATCGCAATTTACCGTTCACGTCCGAATAGCTTGTTTGTGGGTCTTGTTAATATGGTGTAGTTGTGTTAATTATGATGACATGTGTGGAATAAGAAACGATATAATGAATCATTATACAAACTCAAGAACACAAAGAGTAAATAAACCTTTTAAGCTCTCATTAGTTGAATCAGAAATAGTATAAATGGGGTTGTAAGTTTCTCTCTCTAAAACTAATGCTCTCCAAAATAAGATCTTACATAATGGGAGTCACTCACTTCTTATTTATAAGAAAGACTCAACCCATTTACACATACAAGAGGGTAAGCTTAATACACTACATCCAAGCATGACTTTGCACCTTAACATTCTCCCACTCAAAGTTTGGATTAGATGTCCCAGCTTCACTATCCAACAAGCCTGTGCGATCATGTCCAAACTCCCCCTCGAAGTAACATCGGCCAGCAAATGAATATCCGACAAACCCGCTTTGAATACCCATTCTTCATTCTCTCCCTTTTGATAATCAAAAATGATTATAAAACCCATTAAGGGTGAGAAGTGCCCGAGGAATAATCTTCACAATACTCCCCCTTGATGTGTACCAAAAATGAAACCTTGAAAATCTTTCACGGAAAAATAATCACAAAAAAACCTCAAAAAATTTTCATGTAACGACCCAAAATACAACCCAAAATTTTTCTTTTAAATAATACTAAGGTTATCAACGATCTATAATATATCATAAAATCGTACGTCATAAATCCCAAAACAAAAATTATAATAGAGGTGTCATAGCAAAAGAACTGTAACAACATGTCATAGTATATGAAATAAACTCCCAAGACAAAAGTTGAAGCTGTGGTGTGTGCAATGCCATCATCCCGAGCCCTTCCCTTTGCTTGCGGAAGTACCTGAAACCAAAACTGAAACTGTAAGCACAAAGCTTAGTGAGCTCCCTCAGACTACCACATACCAAACAATCATATAAACACATATTGGGCCTTGCCCACTGCATCGGACCGAAGTCCGAAAACTGCATCGGACCAAAGTCCGGAACTAACCAGGGCCTTGCCCTCTGCATCAGACCGAAGTCCGAAAACTGCATCGGACCGAAGTCCATAACTAACTAGGACCTTGTCCCCTACCTCGGACCGACGTCCGGAACTAACTGCATTGGATCGAAATCCGGAACTGACTGAGACCTTGTCCCCTGCATCCGACCAAAGTCCGGAAACTGACTGAACATAACACAGCATAGCATAAACATATCAACTAGCATAAGCACATATACTACATACTGCATTGGACCGAAGTTCGAAACACATAGCACAAAACATGCTTGAATCATAAAGACATCAAGCAATCTAACTACTGCATCGGATCGAGGTTTGGAACTACTGCTAACTAAACGGGCCGGCAATGTGGTCGTAGACCCGTTCCTACTGGAAGGAAAACTCACCTCGTAGTGCTGGTTGTTGAGATGCTAACTCTAAAAGTAGTGTCCGGCTACAATTTCCAAAAATACTAGACCAGTTACTGGTAAATGCTCTAGGGGTCAAATGACTATTTTACCCCTATTCAAAGTCAACTCCCTGGTCAAAGTCAACTTCTAGTTGACCGGACTCGCCGAGTCCCTCCTTTACTAACTCTGACTTTAACTCACCGAGCCTGTTTTCCACTCACTGATTCACTCTCAACTCACAACTCAAAGGGAAAACGAGGACTCGCGACTCGACTCGTCAAGTCTGAAGAACAACTCGCCGAGTCCTATCGTAGATTCCATACAATCGAATACTAATCCATTCCATGGCCTCAAACTCGTAAATCTGAGCCCTTGGGACCATCTGAACACGTAAAGTTGCTGACTTTACGTGTAACTACGAAGGAATGAAGGCATTTCACTCAAACACTACTTTTCTCGGGAAAAAATCATCTGACTCGCCAAGTTGTAGAACAACTCGTCGAGTCTAAGGCAATCTTCATCGGACTCGTCGAGTTGCTCATCCAACTCGTTGAGTCCAAGGCTATCTTCATATGACTCGTCGAGTCAAGCTTGTGACTCGCCGAGTCCATTCAGTCCCTTTTCCATACAGGCCCGATTTGAGCCATGCAGCGACTCTAAGTCACAAATCCATGCTTCTAGGGCATGCTTATCACGTAAAGTTGCAAACTTTACGTGCATGCATGGCTTTAAAGGCTTTAAATGCCAAAAACTAAGCTCTTAATGGGGTTCTAAGCTCAAGAGGGACCTCAATCACGACCATAGCTGAAACTTTACACTACTAGAATGCAATGAGGGTCCAGATCTGAAGTATGACCCAAACATAAGGCTTAATCATAAAGGATTTGGGGTTTTTGGGGGTTTAAAGAAACACTTTGGGGACAACCAAGATCTACTAGATCAATAAACAAGATGGAGGCTTTATTACCAGAAAAGATGACCACAACTGAGTGCTCCGGATCTACTTCCTCTTCCTTGAACTCTCCAATCTTCTCCTTCTTCTACTTGCTCCAAAAATTCCTTCACAAAGCAACAATCACTCACACACTTAAAAAGGGGGCTAGGGTTTGGTAAGAGATGCTCTGAGAGTGATGGAGGCGAGGTTGGGGCTTATAAGTGTGTTTAAATAGGGTGCAAACCTTTAAATTAGGGCTTCACCCAGACAGGCGGACTCGCCGAGTTGCCAACTTAACTCGCATGATCAACCCGTCTTCTACTCAACGAGTCGGGCTACAGACTCGTCGAGTATCCCTCAAGGAAGAAAACTTCAATTAAATCACATACCAGAGACGGAGTGTTACAACTCTCCCCCACTTATTTTAGACTTCGTCCTCAAAGTCTGCTGTTGCGGCTGAATCTGAAAATAACTCTTGATAATGCTCCCTCATCTCCCCCTCAGACTCCCATGTCCACT